AGCAGAGTCGCATCTACCTGAAAGACAAGATGATGATGAGCAGGAGGAGTTCGACTTTAACACACCGCCAGCAGGGTGTCTGTCCGAAAACGCAACGCTGCCTCTAAATGGGAGATTTGATGCACTAACGTTTGGCGTTAGTCGCTCGTTTGTTTGCTGCTGTAATATAACCAGGCCTTTACATTTGATGGTTAGAAAGTAGACTGACACAATAACACATCTACTCATATCTAAAGAAGTGTTTGGCTCATAGCAGCCATTTCATTTCAGGTCAGCAGTAGGCAGCTCATCTCACGCCCTGGGTGCGGTGTCTGCTGCCCCCCCTCATCAGGCATGGACAACTTGTCTAGAGTCTGTTAACACAGCTGTCAAATGTTCCTGTATTTCTTAGCTGACAAGGCTTAATTACTTAGACTGACAGGATCATGTTCTGCAACATATTGTGTGTAGCATCTTTGCATAGCAAATCCAAGCTAATGTGCTAATATGTCCTGCAGTGATCATTTGTAGGCTTTTATTAACACCAGTTTCCATTATTATTATTATTAAGTGTATAGATCACCCCCAGGGTTTGTTTTTATCGCAGAGGTGGGTCACCTGGCCTGAAACAAAGACCCCCCTCTGCTATCATAAATCTTTACAACAACTTTATGAAATAACACGTGACTATTGTGATTATTGTTTTTGGCCATCATCTATCAACTTATTTGATCAAAAGGGATCTGGGTGGCTTCCCACCTCGACTTAAAGGACAATTAAGTCACTTTTTTTTTTTTTTTTAACAAGAAACCGAAGTCTCGGACAATTTTCGCTCTGAAATCTCCTGACAGGCGGGTTGTTGCAGGAAAAGGATGATGGAAGCGTGAAACAGAGTTGGAGAGAGGAGTTTGTTGTGTTGGAGTAACTTTAGGTATAAAGGTCTTGCTTACAAACTCCTCTCCCTTGTTTCCATCTGCGTCTTTCTGCAACAACTCGCCTCTCGTGAGATTTCAGAGCAAGACTTCACTTTCTTGTTAAAAACAAAGGGTGTCACCGTGAGTCACTCGTCGGGATCCTTTCCATGATGTTGTCAGACACCTGGTATAACAGTCTGAGCCTGTCTAAAGAAGCAATTTTTGTGGACGTAATTTTGATGAGCACAATTGCCCCAAAGGAATATGTCGCAGCCAATGCAAGCGGTTTGTGGCCATCTACCGCACGGATTCCAAAACTTTTGTATCTACGAAATATGTGAAAATAGGGCCCAGGTTTAAAAATATCAAAATTATCCTTTAACAATTTCCCAGGGAAACCCTGACCCTCCAGTATTTACTGTTTATATGAACAGATAAGTAAAACATAGCAGAAATCTGTGCCAGCTGGATAACTACCCGTTCTGTTACGGCATTGTATTATCAGTAGTAGGATCTCACAGGTTCTGTTCTTTTTCTTTTACAGTGGACAGTGTATCTGCAGCCCTGTATTCTAAACAGGAGAACGAGCTTTTCATCATGAACTGCGACATAGATGGTACGTCTGCTTACTAACTTTGTGAAACTGTTAATGTCTGAGGGTTGCATCATGTAATAACAATGAGATAATGTGTTGCGTTTGTATGTCAACGACATCCGTGTTTTGTGTCCGTTTCAGGAGACATGGAGAACCAGGTGGAGATGGAGGAGAAGACAAGGTTAATAAATCAAGTTTTGGAACTCCAGCACACGCTGGAAGGTAACACACACCTATTACCCACACACACATTTTATTTTTACCCTGTCTTCTTATCGATGCATCTCGATGTATCTTTTTTTCCCTTGTGATTTCTGGATAGTTAGTAAGAATTTAATTTGCACATTAAAATCCAAAAGAGATGTTTCTTAAGTTGCGTAACAGGACTAGTTTGCATCCCTAATTTACTTTACTAGGCTCAGCTGTTCCTGGTCACCCCCGTCCTTTATTCAGCCTGGTGTTGATACTGGTGTTCATTCTGAATAGAAAACCTTGTTCACTTAATGGTAATGTTGGCTAGTTAGGCTGTGTGTTGGAGATCAGTAATTCACTTAAAATATATTTAATTAGTTAAATGGTTTAATTAGCAGATTAGCAATAAACAGATTAGTCGACTAAAATAATCGTTAGTTGCAGCCCTAGTACAGGGTAGATGTTAGCTAGCGCTAACCGCCTTTACTTTTCCTGCAGTTGGGGAAACAACAGACTTTATTACTTAAATATTTTCCTCCGCTAACTTTCACTGTCACTTTCTGCAGCTCAGTCTCTCTAATTTGCTCGCCCACTCGCTCGTTACACACACACACAGGAGACACAGGGTGCCAGCTCAGCGGTGAGTGTTACCCACTGAATAAACGTGTTACCGTTCTCGCACAATGTGCGAGTGAAACTCAGTAGCTGTACATTCATATTAATAAGCGTCTGAAATTTGAGTAGCAGCGGTCACACATTCTGATATTTCTTTTCTTTTTTCCTTAGACATTGGATTAAATAAGACCCAAACACACCAAAACATACGTCTTTAATGCCCCTTTGAGAAAGAAGTTTTAAAACACTGGATTCTTCTCCCTGTGCTCTTTCCTCTCTGTTGTTCCTCGTCTCAGCCGCTCTGCTGTCTTGATACAGTCCTTTGCTAATGCACCTCCCCTCTTTTCCATATTCACAAACAGCATGCACAGAAATGACCCAGCCCTGTGTTCACTTGTGTGTTAGTTTAGTTTAGTTTATTAGGATCCCCATCAGCTACAACATAAGTGGCAGCTATTCTTCCTGGGATCCACAAGAAAGCGCTGTTGCTAGCAGTCAGCTTCTTTCTAACCTTTGCTGGCCCGTTGCTAGCTGTCTCGGCACCGCAACCAAATAAAGTTATGTTTACATTCTGTCAGTCAGTGTGTGTATTATATAGAAACAAAATGGAGACCTGCTCAGTTGCACTACTAGTGGATGAAACTATCCAAACTGTTTGGACTCACTTTATCTTAATATTAATTAAGATAAGAATAAGTAACATTTAGTGGTATGCGAAGAAAATAAGAACTTCTGAATTGAAATGTATTATTGGCTATTCATTCGCTAAATTGTCTGCCGTTTTCCTATCTTTCTGTCCCATTCTTTGTCCCAGACTTGTCAGCGCGGGTCGATGCAGTCAAGGAGGAGAACCTGAAGTTAAAGTCTGAGAACCAGGTTCTCGGTCAGTACATCGAGAATCTCATGTCGGCCTCCAGCGTCTTCCAGACCACCGACACCAAGAGCAAACGGAAGTGAGGTACCCTTTGGGGGGTAAAGCTGAAGTCCCAGGCCAGCAGAGAGGAAACCCACCCTGGAGACGAGGAGAGGGGTTTGTTTTCTCAGCAGACCTGGGGTGTTTTATGTAACCGCTCACTTACCTGAGTCTAAACTAACTATTTAATAATCAAAAAAACAAATAAACTGACTTTCACCCGTCCCGCTGGCTCAGAAATAGATCCATTTAATGTTAGTCTGGCCCAGGTCTGTTTTGCAGCAGCTTCCTCTCCACACTACAGATGAGGTAGACATCACCCTTTAATCACTAATCAGAATATGTACATGAAGTGGTTAAGGGTCATTTGTACCTTGAGTTTCTTCTTAATGCTCTCTGTCAAAGTAGTATCTGTACAATAATTGGAAACAACTGCTGTTTTACTTGCTTGGTTTCCTGATTTTCAGTGGTTTTCCGAACTTTGGGACACTGCGTTCCCATCTCGAACTCACAAGTAAAGTGGGCGTAAACAAACCATAAATATTACAAATACTGTTTGACAAAGAACCCCATTTTCCACACTGGTTTTATTTTATTATTTATTTTTGTAAAGTATTTTCTACGTCAGCTGGATCTGAGTTTTTGGTTGGTCTTGGAAGTCACCATGTTTATATAAAGCACGACTGTATTCCTCCATTTAAAAGCTGATAAACTAAACGGTATTACTGAAAGTGGAAACTGGCTCGCATTTAAGAGTAATACACATCTCAAATGGGTTTCTTTCTGTTTGACAGTTTAGTATATCTAATGAAATGTCATTAAATCAATCACTGAATTGCAGACTGAAAACTAGCAGAGCTTTTTAACAGGTGTAAACTATCACTCCATAAAAGTGTAGGTCTTAACATCAGTGATGTTTTCATTGCAAGTGATCACAAAGATTCTTTTTGTGCTTAAAGGTATTTGTAATTCTTTAAACTCAAGTGTTGTGGCCCAAAATGTAACATAAGAGTGACAGAGGGAATGGTAGGGGTCATAAATGCAGCAGGGCTTCGTCAGACAAACCCTGCATTATTACATTTGGTGTGTTTATAGAGTAACGTCATTTGGGCCTTAATGGACCGAATGACATGAGGAAGATGCGGGGGGGGCAGACATGCTCTCCCCCTTTTAACTGCAAGACCAAAAGCAGTAAAGAGGCCCTGAGTGCTATTGATCCATTTGGCCGGGCCTGGACTACATCACCCGCCAGAGGAGGAGTTTTACTGTAAATGTGCTGATGTCCTCATTGTACAGCAGGAGTGGAGGGTGTGTCCCCCAAGGCTGCCTCAGATAAAGAGAAGAAGAAAGGACTGAGTATGGTAGGAGGAGATGAAACTTATTGTAATAAACAAATTTGGATTCCCTTTTTAAACTCAAGTGTCCAGTTCAATAATATCTGGAAAGCAGTAATGCATGTGTAAACATCAGGTGGTGTTTGAAAGGGAGGAATTGGTAATATAGGAGGCTATAAACTTTATGCTGTTATTTTGTCATTTTGAACAGTTGTACAGTAGTATTTCAATATCTTTCTGGCATGCTGACTATGCCCTACACACACCCTAATACCGACTGTCTTGTGTAACCCTGTACCTTTTAAACATTTTTGTTTTAATAAAAACCTAAGACCACTCCTTTCTCTGGGTCTTTCGTCACCTACACAATCCTACGTTATCTGTCAAGAGATGACGAGAGCAAGAGAAAAGAAATCAAAATCACATTCAAATGAATAATGCACCTCATTTAATCAGACTTCTAACAAATGTTTTTTTTTTATTAAATTGTTTTATTTTCAAGAGCAATGTACAACTTGCAAACAAATGTAAACGGTGATATCTGCCAGCATCTGGCAAGAACATGAACTACAAAAGCTTGAGACAATAATATAAAACAAATAAATTAGCATCCATGTCTTTCCAGCTAGTCTACATGTTCTAGGAAAGCACTGCTGTGTACTGACTGGTTTATTACCCCGCAGAAACCCACACATCTAGTCAGTCTTATTGACAACAAATGACCAAGGCTTTCAAAGTTACCATTTTTGCTGCAAGCGCTGACAGTCAGTGTTTTGATCATAAACTTTACTAAGTGTAATAAACAGATTTAGATTCAGAATAAGCATATCTGGGGCTTATATTTAAGAAAACTGCTTGAAGTCACTCAAAACACTGCATGATTAAATCTTTCATACTGGCGTAAAACAAACCAATTAATAGGGTTATCAGTGCTAATCCTCAATTCTTAAATTGCTATAACTTAGTAAAAAACACCCAAAAAGGAACTGATTCTCCTTACAAACTACCTAAACTCTAAACAGAACATCCACTTTTTAAAGAGGTAAACTTCAACCTAAGCTGAGGCGACGTGTAAGCTGAAATGTCCTGCCACCGCAGTAACACGTCAAACAGCATCACCTCGCAGCCTGGCGTCCTCTCCTCCTGGCCTGTTCTCGAAACCCAAACAATTTCAAACAAGGAAGGAACTTTGTCAAACTGTCTCCTCGAACACGTTCTTTAAAACTAAGAGAATAAAAGGCTTAACTTCTGAGATGTGGCCCCTATAATATGCTGTAAAATGTTATGAACGCCTGGAGTTGACACTAGCGCAGACGCTCTCTGCTGCCTTCACTCTCAGAGGAGTAGATCTGACTGGTAGATCTGTGATGGCAAATATTCAGAGAGAAGACTGACAGCGGAGACGGGGTGAACAGGAACAGAGGTGGAAGAGGCAGGGATTTTTTAGGCTGACAGGCATTTTCACAGCCGTGGCTTAGAGGAGAGAAGAAGGATGGAGGAAGTGTGGAAGCTCAGGATGGAGGAGGAGGGAAACCGGCTAAATGCACAAAATCTCCAGGGGATTCATTTGGTAGTTCATTGAGCGGGGAGGGACAGACGGGAGGAGAGTGGGGTTGATGTAGGGGGGTGGTTTGGGTGACTGCGGACCTGTGATGAGTGTTGCTGCAAGATTGAGGAGACGTGGATGGGGCAGCCGGGGTGACTGCAGGCTACCAGGTGGTTTGGAGGAAATACGTGCTGCTCTGCTCGGAGTGGGGGGGAGCAGCAGCAAAGTCGGCCCTTCCACCTCCTCCGCATCGGGGGAGAAAGGAGACAGTAGGCGTGGGGTTCAGCTCTTCAGTCTTTCCGTACCCTCCTCTTTCTCACAGCTTGTTTGTGGCTCTCTTTGGCGACGTCTCCTCCTTCCTTCGGCTGCCGGCCCGAATGTGAATGAAATAAAGAGCAAGAAGAAACCAAATTAAATGGATGAGACATAAAACATCACTCCTGCCTTTGTCAAATGACCAACATGTTAACAATAGTGCAGTTAGCCCCATCTCACAGGAAGACATTTTAAAATGCCAGGTATAATAAAAAAAAAAAACATGACCATTCTTGAAAGTGGAATCACTGGAGGTGAAAGCAAGAGCAGCCAGACTCCCTGACCATGCATCCTTCTCACTAGGACAAGGACACAGTGTCAGAGATGTGAAATAGACTAAACACAAGGGAGGTGAGTGAATGATCCTGTTCAGTGTGTTGTCTGCAGGCAGGCTAACCATTACTCTGACAATATGAACGAATAAATGATAGTGCCGTTTAACAGTACTCCACCAAGAAACGTTAAACAACCTTAGAAACGCAACGTATTCAATCTTGAGTGTAGATCATATGAATTATAACTACGGGTTTTCATCCCATACCAAGTAAAATCTAATTAACCAATAATGACACAGATGCTGAGAATAAAAAAAGTGACTAATGTGCTCACGTAGGAGAAAGCCACACATCACGATTCATGTAGTGATCATCAATAGGTTACTTCTAGATACATTTTCATTACCACAAACATTAAGCATTTGTTTTTACTAGTTTCTGTTAATTACTTTATCACATGCATGATAAAACACACGACATAACAAATATGTGTATTGTGTAAATTCTTTTAACTGATCAGTTGATGATTGTGAACATGATCTAATGTGACAAGGATCCTCTATTGACACTATTATCAATATTGATAGAATTTTGATCTTTCACTTACCATAAGTGGACATTTGAGCTTAACCCTGACTTTATTTTTTTAAACAAAAAAAACTAAGTCTTTACATATAGTTCCAGTAAGCATATACATTGTCTTATTTTATTATGTCAGTTTTATCTACGAAGGTTTGCGTTGGCGATTCATAGTTTTCACGTGACGTCACATTCCAAGGAAAATGCGCCATGTGAGGGCAAAAAAGACATTATTTTCCGCTGCCCGCCGACCAGGAAGCAAGTTATGCACTAACTTTGAGTTTGAAGTTTGAAGTTTGTTACTTTTGCGTTGCCTGGTTGGTTGTTGTGCTTACGGATGCACTAAGTGACGAGGAGACAAGCCTGATCTGTGTTAGGTGAGGGATTCCCTACAAGGTAAATGTAAACATTACCGCAGTCGAGCGCTGGTTGGGACCTGGTGGTTTTTAACGCCGGAAATAAGGCAGTGGGTACTGTATATGGATCGCAAGTGCCCAACACTTGCAGTTTGTCCATATCTGTCTTTTTCTTGAGTTGGGAGGTGAATAAAATTGAACGGCTTTTGCGGCATCTCTACGAGGGAGTCCGGTGTGAGACGCTATCTTGGTCTGTTTTGCCCTCCAGGTCACGTCGCATATGTCCCGTGACTGAAAACTATGAATACACTTTGTTACTGAGGGAGAAAAATGGAGAAAGTGTTTCAGTCTGGAGTTGACTTGTCTAAAAATTAGAATTCAACTTCAACTATTACAAACATCACACGTGTGTGACACTGTTATCATCCTGTGGCGGATTAATATTGGATAATGTGGAACCTTTTAAAGATCAAGGTAAGATGAACCTAAGGTATTCATTCCCAGGGCGTGTAGGAACCTCAGATATGTACCGACGCCATCAGCTCATGCTGCTGTGCAGGTGAGAACACCAACCTCATCTTCTAATGTTCTCTCAGGAGCTTTGCTTTCCTCTTCTCCCTCCTCCTCTTCATCCTCCCCCTCTTCCTCTTCCTCCTCGTCATCATCCCCCTCTAGATTGTCATCTCCCGCATCGGCTCCGTCCTCCTCCTCTTCCTCCTCCTCCTCTTCCTCCTCAGCTTCTTCTGTTGCTTTGGAGAGGGAGAGTAAAAGGTGATGACAGTAAGGACAAAGCATTAAAAGTACTCAATACTCAATACAGCACCAACAGAAGAGTGTGTCCTGTGTTTGACCCTCTAACCTCCAGCTGGTGTGCCTTCTGTAGCCTCAGCTGCTTTGTCTTCCTCATCTGCTGCTGCCTTCTCTTCTTCTTCATCCCCCTCTTCCTCTTCTACATCAGCCCGGGGAAGATCCACTTTCTTGTACACGTAGTCGTCATCTGATTTCTAGGACACAAAAGGGGATGGGATCACAGTCCGGTTTGGAGGGTTTTCTGCGTGTGCTCCAGCATAAATGGGGGATCAGAAACATGATAAATAAATGACTCATTGGGTGCATCGTACCTTTGGCCAGCAGAAGAGCACAGCCAGGCCTACAGGCAGACCGACTGTCAGTATGTAGATCACCCAGAGCCACGGTCGTTCTTCTGCTGCTATCATCAGCTGAGCAAAAATCCCCGGCTGGTGGGATTAAAGGGTGAGAAAAGTAGTGAGCCCTTTCCCTGGCACAAACTGACAGCCCAGTGGTAAATTATATGCACATAGTGGCAACGTTAAGGGTCTATGTTCCTGTTGCCCTTACAAAGCATCACACTGACCTCGTTAGCGCTGGCCACCAGTTTCTTCAGCCCCCAGCTGTCAGCGGCCCAGCGGTCAGCCACCTCCTTGTGAGAGGTGATAATGAAGTTGTCAAAGTAGATATCTGAGGTCATGGACCACAACTCCAAGCCCACAGCCTTGAAAGGTGTCATCCTGAACGGCTGCAGGTCCTCAAAATAGTCCGGGTTAATGGTCTTCCGTGGCTTCCAGACTCCCTTGGAAAGAAGAATGTGAAGGAAAACAAGAGTTAGGAAGAGATGACAACATGGTTTCAGCTGGTGCAACAACATACAGCATCTCTAACAGGACAGGTTAGAGGTGCTGCGTGTAACGCGTAAAGTGTAAGTGGCTGAGTACGCAACTAGAACAGTAAATAAAAGAGTAATTGACTGATCAGTGTGAAAGTTAGATTTTTCTGACCCATGTAGCGATGTACAGCTCTAAAATGTCAAAAACAGCTCGGTTTGGTTATACGGTGAAAACTGCTTATAGTGATCAGTTACAGAGATCAACCCCAGTAATAATTAGCTTATATTAATCATTCATTATTAACGGCCCTTTTATCCATGTCAACATACCTGAATATTTTATGAATACGTTTGTCTTCAAACTCAGCTACCAGTTTGGCATTGATAGCCTACAGTTTATTGTCAGGCTGTTAAAAATGTTATAAATGTAGTACATTACAATACTGTTTCAGGCTATAGCCTAATAATAATTTGAACTACAGCAAGATTTATTTTATGTACTGTATGGCTGTATAGTGTTTTTGAATTATACACAGTACAGTAATTTAAGTGATTTCAGAAGTGTTTAAAACAGCTGTTCTGTCATTTTTATTACTTTATATTCATGTAATAAATATACAAATGTCAAGTAGATGGAAATTCTCATGAGAAAAAAATAAAATATGTTTATGATAATCATCCACTTGAAGTGATAATTTGACCCAGACAGAGGTTTCCACTGTATTGGGTTTGTTATAGTTACCTGATAGTTGGGATTGTCCACCAGAGGGGCTTTCCACTTGCCCTTGTACTGAGGGTTGTTGATCTTGGGCCGTTTCCACTCCCCACAGCCAGGGGCCGTCTCACAGGCTGGGTTGGGAATCTGCGGGGCTTCCCACTCTCCATCCATCTCCTCGTCCCTGCGCACAGAGGAGAGCTGTCAGTCTGGATCCGTTCCTTACTGTAAAATCATTTGGGTGGACCTGTGGTGAATGCGTTTGTTTACCAGTCTTCTGGTTTTTCAGCGTTAGGGTCTGGGACAAACTCCGGTTCGTCGTCCAGCCAGCCCTCTGGCTTCAGAGCGTCGGGGTCCTCAATCTTCGCTGGAGCATCTTCATCCCTGCCGAACATACACGTCCATGTTTGTTACTGATGACTAGGTCACTGAGGCCCTAACGTTTAAACATGTTCTGCAACTAATCTGTACTGTCTACTAGCATGGGGGGGTGTGGTCACCAGTCATCAGGCTTGACGGCCTCAGGGTCAGGAATCTTGGCCCTCTCGTCCCAGTCCTCGGGCTTGGAGTCATTTGGGTCATCGATCTCTTTGGGTGGGTTGACTGGAGGGATCACGTCATGCAGCAGGCTGCCGCGGCTCACGCTGGACTGGTCAATGAACATCTCGTAGCTGTTGTCTGGGTTCAGGACTGACAACAGGGAAACATTATTCTGCTTCAGTGTGGCACTAAAGCATTACATATAAAAGATACATTTAGACAAGATATAAAAATTTAATTCTAAATTGTCTCTCTACCCAAAGTGTACAGGTGAGTCTTCTTGTCAGTGTAAAACTTCTTGAGGTCGACGTCGGCCCTCTTGGCATGCTTCTCCTCCAAGTCTTTGTTCAGGGGATTCTGGTGGCGAAAGATGAAGTGCAGCTTGTAGTCCTCGCCACACTTGTCTGGTCCAAACATGATGGTGTAGGGTGTACGGTCTTGGAATTGCTCCTGCAGCGCAGAAGAAGAAGAAGTGCCCATCAAATGGCGTATACGTGCTGCTGCTGCCATTTTACAGTGCAAATCAAAACTTTACACATTATAAATGGAGTAAGGCAGAGGACAACATGTGTACCAACCAGAGTGAGATCGTCAGTATCTGACAGCAGTTTGATGTACGCCCCACCACAGTCGATACCATCCTGGAAATTCACCTCATACCTGCAACCAGAACACAACAAAACAATTAAACAAGTCTTTGTTACATTACACAGATTTTAGTCACACACTTATACATCCACTAACCACTGTAGCTGATAGTAAAAGTCCACTTGCATGAACTAAAATGAAAGTGTAACGTGTGTGTGTTTGAACTCACTGTACGACCAGAGGTTCATCCTGGAACACAAAGGGTTTGTCCATCATTGCGGCGATTGCGTGGTGTTTGGCCCTGGACTTGAGCACCAGTCCCTGGTCTCCTGGAATTTTGTTCTCCTTCAGCTGCTCCACAGCCCACTTCCCTACAGCCGGCGAGGAAGAGAGGGACGGATGTTCAGCAACCTGGGTTTTATTCTCATGGGTTATAATACAATTTTACTTAACAGCTGAATTGCTGGGGTGTGCGGTTGCACAATCTCTGCTTCAGTGTAGTCAACAGAACGTCGCTGTGACCTTATATCTCAGCAATTACGCTGCCATGTCAAATCATATCATAACTAACAGGCATCGTGGCCCACACTATAAAAATAAGCCCCAGCGTTGTAAATACCTCTCTTTTTAGCATCATACATGAGAAAATAGAGTCTGTGAGAGGTAAAGATAAGAACAGCAAGTTGTGCCTCTGTACAAACGCTCGTACACACACATCTAGATTAGCAGAACGGGAAAAAAAGCAACAAACCGTCATATTTGGCGATTTCGTCATCTGCATCCCCCTTCACTGTCTTTGACAGCTGCCATCTGTGGAGATCAGCATCCCACAATGCTTAGCTTCCACACAAGAAAAGGTGAACACATACAAATACATTACCACCATTGACAGTGCAAGTTATCCTGGTCACTCAGCACCATCGGAGGCTCACGTATCCTTGCACGCATCGAATATTTACGCTGTATTTTCAGTGGCACTTGGTGGTAGCCTATATTATAGCCTATATTTTTAGGCTATACCTGTCCAGTGATCCATCATCAAACGTCTCTGCAAAGTAGACATCTCCAGTGGGAACAGGAGTCTTGTATGTTACCTGGGGAACAAAAAATATAAATTAGAAGTCGATCTGCAGGTCAATTTCCGTTAATCTAGACCTTTCAACTGTCAAGATAATCTTTCTTAAATTTTATTGATTTTACCAGCTTTGATATATTTCAGTTTTACTTGACCTATGACTCATTCCCGACCTGGAAGGAGACATTTGCATCTGTTCCAGCCTTCCCACTTGCTGTGTCTGTCTCATCAGAGTGGTCTTCATCCATCACCGTCGCCTCCTCCTCCTGATCCTCCTCGTCCTCTTCTGCCATCAAAACCTTTAATTCCTCCTCATCCAGGCCCATATCTTCACTGACGTCTGAAACATCACCCTCCAGCTGCTTCTCCTGGCACGCCACGGCTGCCACAGCCAGGTAGGACAGGAGCAGCATGCACCACATCCAACCCCTGTCCAACTTCATCTCTAGAGGTTAGAAATGGGGGGTAGGGTGGAGGCCGACAGTAAGAGGATGAGTGTGAGATAAGGGTATCAGAGATGACCATAGTGTGAGTAGCACAGTGAGGAGGGTGCGGTATGGGAGGAGGAGGGAGGGGGATGGGAAGAAAAGGCAGGTGTGAGTGAGATAGATGTTATTTATGGAGAGCAATGGGGTGTGTGTGTGTGAGCACATGGGGGGAGGGGTGTGTGTGTCAATTATATAAATAGATAACACAAGTACGTAAAGGGAAGGAGAGATGAGGGTTAGAGGAAAAGGTCACATTAGAGGCCTGTGTCCTCAGATCCTTCTCACGTTTGTCACACTACTTCCTTAAAAAAACTTTAAAGTCTACTCCTCCTTTGTTGTTGTCTTATCTGTGCACCAGATAAATTCTGACTACAGACTCCTTCTACACAGATGCCAAAAACATTCAAACATTCAAATCTGTAGCATACAACTAGCATCTTTGGATTTACAATATGTCTTCTTCCCCAAACATCCTTACTGGTCCTCATTTGGACTCTTTGTGTGTGTCCTAATATGCATTTCAAGCCTTGACAGATGCTCTGCTGAATAATGGTGAAACTCAGAGATCTGTTACGCCATACAACAGCTTCAATGACCTCTTATTGAAGCGGCCACACCTGCTCACACTTGTTGTGAGCAGCAGGAATTGACATGAATCACTGCAGGCAGCCCAGTAGCACGCTTTCATTTATTCCTAATTAACTTTAATTCCCATACTGCTGTTGTTCTGTTTGCTAACATCAGAGCGCAGGAGGATCAAAAGGATTCTGATAAACATGAGAGAGATGATGAACAGGGAACGCTATTAAGGGTCATCTCATCTTGAAAAGCGTCAAGATGCTGCTCATTTATTGATCTTTGGTCTGAACGCAAGCAATGCAACAGTTTGTAAAGAATTTTGGCCACATCACACAGCAGGAAGAGATGACTGGGGGGGAAAAAAATGGATTCTGATGTGAACACACAAAACATGTACAACACATTGGAGAATGCATGTAATTGTGGCCAAAGTATAACCAGGTTTGTCTAGACAGCTTCCACCGACTGTGATAAGTCATCTTAACCCCACATCCATTAAAACACTCTCATCATTACTGGCCAAGTGTAACGTTAGTTAAAACAATTTCTTTTATCTCCAGTGTGTGGGTTAAACGTCCCAGACAGGCCATTCCCTGACTTACCTAACAAAATCAACTAGCTAACCTGTGTAGATGTCAGCTACCACAGCCAACTCTATTTCCCCTTAAGCTTCAGTCCTCCTATTTATCACAGTTATAGCCCAAGTGTACTGTGCTAACATCCCTCACCAGCCCCCAGTTTAAATTAAACAGTGCCAACAAGCTCTTTTATTATTTGTATCACTATGTAGCTGAAGCTCATTAGTAAAACAGATATAGGAAATAAAGAGAACATGTCACAGGACAGGGTTTTGGAGCTAACATGGCTGCCATCTAACACTGCAATATCCAAACTCTTTCAGATGAATGGCTCTGGCTGCAGCACCTGCTCCTCTAGCTAGCTAGCTGCACGGCGCGCCAATCACAAACAGCAAACGTTAGCATAACATAAGCTTAGCTAGTAAACTAATGGGCTTAAAGAAGGAACCCAACAATTAAACATGTTACGGCGTTAAAAAAACAAACGGCTAAAAATGTATTTTTATAGTAAACGGTCTTGTCAGACTGCAGTAATGATTGGATAGCATCGGTTAGCTTGTTAAATTAGCGGTGATGTCGCTCAGGGAGGGCTGAGGAGAATGAATGAGCGCACGCAAACAAACCTTGCGCCTTCTTGTAATTGCAGAGAAAATTCCTCGATAAAAGCTGCTTCTCCGCTCTGGAAAAATAGAGGAAGTGTCTTGAGCGTTTGTCCCGCACCTAAGTGTCACCGAGGCCCGCCGTGTACGGTTGGGAAAAACACGGTTGTCTGCTGGAGAAGATGAAACGTAGATGACAACTTGGCCCGGATAACGGTGCGCGGTAGATGACAGCGTCCCTACAAACGAGCATGCGCACTCCGCGCAGATGGAGAGCGTGAATGGTGCCTTCAAGTGCCACCGGCAGTTGTAACAAATAATAGGAGACGAGAGCGACTCCGAGCTGTTGACAGCATGACTAGAGGCTTTTGGCTTCAGTATTTCCGATACTCTTCCGTTTCTACTAATACTGCCAATCACGGCTGCAATACTTTCCCCACAACTTTAACTGTAATTTCTATATTTATTGTGTAGAGTTGTTTTGATAACTATCCACGATGCTCAGTACAAAAATGGCAGTGTGCCGATTGACTTCCAAAATACAGCCACCACAAAATACCTTAGCTACGGGATCCATTCTGCTGGTGTACAAACAAAAGCACATAAAAGCGTGATATGCATTTATATTTCAAAATTCCTCAAAAATACGTCTTCTATTTACAACTTCGTTTGTCCCAAATTCTGAGCTTTTGAGGAGCACTTAAAGGCATCAGGAATTCACTCTGCATTAGGATTTCAAAGTAAAAGCGTATTTTCAGTCAATTCTTCAACATATGCTCCCATAACACAGTGCCAACAAAGACCTGGTTCATAACAAATAAACTAAAAAAAATAGGCTAACATAACATAACACTTCTAAACAAGTCAAATAAAGACAAATATTCCCCCCCGGTTTTAATATGGAAAACCATAGCACTTCCGGGGTAGAGTTCAGACAAAGTTGATGGCGGCCACATGCCAGTGGAAGTGCAGTTATAAGAATTAGTAGAATTAAATTATTGAACTCTAACTACAGCCAGATAAATCCCGCAGAATGAAGGACACGCCGTTGTCTAACTGTGAGCGGGATTTCTTGCTCAAAGCCATCGAAGAGAAAAAGGTGAGCTGGTTTCTGAACATTGTGTCCACTTTATGTAAGTTAAAACTGATAAAATATAAAACTGCTGCAGAGATTAATGTTACTGACTGATACAGAATAAAAAATATTTATCTGTAATTCATTCAAGATAGACTATTACCAAAGCCCTTATATACAACGTCTCTGCTGTTCCCAAACACTTCACTTAGCCAGTCTTCAGTAGTTGTAAATGGAAAGGGTTCACTATCTTTACATAGCTGTGGTTCATGGACTTTGGGCTTTGGGGGAAGTCTCGTCCATGTCCCCTAATTCCCATAGTAGTCCCTAAAAAGTGATATTTTGTGGGAGTGCTCGAGTTTCACCTGTCTTCTCCCTGCAGCGCCTGGATGGACGACAGACCTACGACTACAGAAAGATGAAGATCACGTTTGGGACCGACTATGGATGCTGCTTTGTGGATCTGGGGAAAACCAGGTGAAACCCTGCCCAGACATGAATGTATCTTCCTTGTAAATCTTCCCCTAAATTTTCCTTAATTCAACTCAGAGTTAGCTGTAACTTTTTTTCCTGTAAATATTCACAATTAAGATGTTTCTGAATCCATCTGAAAAGTAGGGCTGGACAATAAAACAATAACAATAATTATTGCAATATTTAGTTTAAATAACAATATAGCAAATGTTTGATTTTCATCAAAACTAATTAGGACTTAATTTTTAATTAAGATGTTTATTTTGTTGAGGAAAAAGGACTGAAAAAAGCTATTACTTAATTTTACTCATGCACATTTGTTGACAAAGATTTTATCATAATTGAATGTTCTACCTCAGATTGGTGAAGTGATCGACTGTTTGGCTTCAAGTGTTGACCATGAAGAAAAGTTTAAAGCACAATTAACCATCAGGTTTCCTCAACTTTCACTCGGGAGCAAAAATCAGCCTTTAAACTCGGAAGAAATAACGATTTGATACTTATTGTGATAATTATTGATATCAAAAGATATGAAACTTTTTTTTATCGTGATAACATTTTTGGCCATTTCGTCCAGCCCTGCTGATAAGTATTTACTGTAGAACTTTGCATGACAAAGCTGGAATCTTTGAAAGCATTGGGTTGATGAACTTTGCTTGTCTTCACGGCATGAGTTTGTAGATATGGACTTCTCAAAGGGTCCGTGGAGGGAAGCCTCTCAAACAAGCACTGATGTTGTGCAGAGTCAAAAGGGAACCCATGTAATGCACCGAAATTCATATGAAACATTTTGTGTTTTATTTTTTTGTGATAATGGAATATCAATGTGCTGCACTCTACAGGGTCATGGCCCAGGTGTCATGTGAGCTGGTGTGTCCTAAAGAGAGTCGACCAAACGAGGGGATCATGTTCTTCAACATCGAGCTGTCACCTATGGCCTCACCAGCATTTGAACAGGGCAGGTGAGAAAAGAAGCCTAAAGAGATGATGTCTGTATATTCTTTTCTGCTAATACATCTGACAGATTATAGGTTACACATTCCCTCTTGGTCAGTGCTAACGTTTCTCGTCACATTATAAAATTTTAGCTTTTTCCCCACAGTGTATTAGACTAGAAGTCTGAAAAGTGGTTCATTTAGTCTTTTTTTTTATTTTGTGTGTTTGTTTGTGCCGAGTGTAAATCCTCTGTGGGGTTTTTATTTCTCTCCAGACAGTCTGAGTTGTCAGTGAAGCTAAACAGGCAGCTGGAGAGATGCTTGAGGAACTCCAAGTGCATTGATACCGAGTCCCTGTGTGTGGTGTCTGGGGAAAAGGTAAAACACACACACACAAAACAGAAAACAGAAAACAGAAAAGAACCATATATTTAGTGAGATGGTGGTGATGTGTGTCTCTGTGTTCAGGTGTGGCAGATCAGGGTGGATGTTCACATGCTGAATCATGACGGGAACCTGATGGATGCTGCTAGCATTGCTGCTATTACCGCTCTGAGCCACTTCAGGCGCCCTGATGTCGGCATCCAGGGAGAGGACGTCACAGTGGTGAGTCAGCAACAAACACGCCAGGTGTCGTCTCTGCCTCAGTGAATCTACTGGGAGACGCCTGATGCCCCAAACTGCTCTGTTACCTGAAATTAATTGATGACACTTACAGAGGATATAATGTAGGACTTTCCTGCTTTGCTCCAAGTGACCACTGGTTAATCATTAATGCTGTTTAATTTCAGTGTCAACACATCTTTTTATTGTTAAAACAAAAACACTACGTTGCACCACAGATTTTACATTTTTACTCATGTCAGAACGGTTTTAACATCTCTCTTTGTGTTGGTTGTAATTTTATATTTATTCCTGTGCTCCTTTAGTACAGTCCGGAGGAGAGAGACCCTATTCCTCTGAGTATCTACCACATGCCCATCAGTGTCAGCTTCGCGTTCTTCCAACAAGGGTAAGACGGCACGTTTGAGTACAAGACATTTTCTAAAAATTGCAGTGTACCAAAATGCTAAGATTTTTATTTTGAAGGACTCCCTGTTAATTTAACCGTGTGGACATTTTAACTTAGGGGTGTACTCACTTTTGTTGTCAGCGGTTTAGACATTAATGGCTGTGTGATGTGTTATTTTGAGGGGACAGCAAATTTACACTGTTATGCAAGCTGTACACTCACTACTTTACATTGTGGCAAAGTGTCATTTCTTCAGTGTTGTCACATGAAAAGATACAATTAAATATTTACAAAAATGCGAGGGTTGTACTCACTTTTATGAGATACTGTATAACCTACCAAGGTACAGGAACAATAGATTTAAAAACTCATCTGCTTATATTAGTCTTCTAAACAGCAGTGAGTAATTTATTTACATTGTTGTTTTTTGTGTGTGAATGGTTTATGTGTTGTTTGAACATGATGATTGCACTGCTGGCTGTGCAACTAATTGCCTCTTGGGGATAATAAAGATTCACCTTACCTAACCTCCTTCCTGTTTGCTCTGCAGGACCTATCTGCTGGTGGACCCCTGTGAGCGGGAGGAGCGTGTGATGGACGGGTTGCTGATGATCGCCATGAACAAACACAGAGAAATCTGCTCCATCCAGTCCAGTGGCGGCATCATGTTGCTTAAAGAGCAGGTGAACCCAGATAATCTTGCAGTTGTTATCTTAGTTTTGCAGCCAGAAAGATCAATTATTTTAAAAACACTTTCCTGTAGAGCTGCTCTCCTGAACACTCACAGGTTGAATATAAACACTGTAGTTATCCTGTAAGAGTAACACCCTACATATATTATCACCAATTTCTTTTTTTTTTGTGTGCGGTGTTGAAGGTTATGAGATGCAGTAAAATAGCCAGCGTCAAAGTGTCCGAAATCACAGAACTCATCAGCAAAGCCCTGGAGAATGACAAGAAAGCAAGGTGAGCAGTAACATCACCACACTACTAAGCGAGTGGTCATTTTGAACTCCAGGTGTTGTCATGAGTTGATAAATAAGAACATTTTTTCATTTCCAGGAAGGCGGGGGGTAGGTGTGGTTTTGCAGAGTCTTTGCCTCAGGAGCGAATCACAGCACTGAAAATGGACGAGACTCCAGTGGAGATGACAGATGTGACAGACAGAGCCAACGACATAGTCCGGAAAGCCGAGACCCCGCCTCAGACGTATCTTTTACAGAGCCTGAATGATAACGGCGTCTACCAAGAGAATGTGTCTTTGTCCCTTTTTTATCTGTCACGTTGCCAGATCATGTTCACTGTGGCTCCTTAACCATTCATACCAGGGTGCCTTCCCCAGTGGTGCCCGTCCCAGGGGTGGGTCAAGTAGGGCAGGGGCTGCAGAACACCTGGGGACTGGAGGAGGATGATGAAGAGGAAGAGGAGGAAAATGACAACAGTGTTAACGAACAGGAGGATAAAGTAACAGAGATGGAAGAGGAACAGCATGAAAAGGAGGAGAGCGGAAGAGGTTATTGAATTTTTTTTTTCAATCTTAATATAAAGTAGACTTTCTACAGGTTTCAGTTTCTAAAGAAACAGACAGGAAAGCAGCATCTTGCATACAAGTCGTTTATAAAAGAAAGCAAAAGAATAGGCAGGAATTAGATGTCAAACCAGCACAAGGCCAAACATTATGTAACCTTAGGTAGTAAATGATGATTCTATGAGCATGTTTTCTTTTGAATAGCTTAAAATCATAAAGTGGGAATTTGTTTTGACTTACAGAAGATGTGGTTGAGATATCTGACAGTGAAGAGGAGGATGTGGTCATACTTCATCCGGAGACACCAGACAAAGCTCCTAAGTAGGTGTTTTTCATTTTACTTATCATTGGGTAGTTGCTGCTTTGTGTGCTTTATTCAATGATGGTGTGTTTACTGTATTGATGCAAATACACAATTTTGACGAGTGTTGCAAGAATTGTTTTGCAAGATCTGACCGATGTTTTTTGTGGTTAGTGTGTAGAGTTTTGCAAAAACAGCCTTATAGTTTCAAAATTGGTGCCTAAGCAATCAGACAGAAACTGAAATAAACATCTTTTTTTTCTTGCTCTCAGAAATACAGGATCCAGTTCGCAGCACAAGGGGGCAGCAACATCAAAGAAAAGACGGAAGTAATGAAAGAAGGATCCCTGCAGACCAACTGCAGCACCTCTGCAAAATAAAGACTC